AAACTCAAAGAAAAACATTTCCTCCAAGTTTCTCAAGACAAAATTATGAATTTTCACTGCTGAAATTTTTTTATTCATTGACTGTTATCCAGTATTTCACTGTCATATCTATGTGGTCTCATCCTGATTGCTGTGAATTAAACAGCATAAGTACTTACACTACTAAACTTCAACTGTTAGATTCAATGCTTCATACTATAATAGTAAGATATACATATAAAATCAAGATTATGCTAAGTGTGATGTGCACACCTTTAATCCCAGAACTCAGGAGGCAGAAGCAGGTGGATCTCTGTGAGATTGAGGCCAGCCTGGTTTAAATAGCGAGTTCCAGGCCATTTGGGGCTACAAGGAGACTCTGTGTCAAAAAGACAAACAAACAAACAAAAAAATCAAGATTATTTTTATGTAATAAGTTGATTAAAATGAACCACTGGAAATCTATGAAGTACATTCTGATGGAAATAAGACGTATGTAAGTATGGATAAAAAGCAAGTCAGTTGCAATGATGACTTATGAATCTATCAATCCCGAGTATGAAAAAAAATTTCAAGTCAATGATTTGAGACAGGAACCATTATTCTTCTGGTGAAATACCAGCATGTCTGTACTTGAACAGAGAAGAGTTAGAAAAGCAAATGTATTAAACAGGAGCTTCATAATTCATTATATGCATAAGGAGCAAAGTCAATACTATTTTCATATTTTTGTGCATTAATACAGTATTACAGACATAAAGATTTTTGTGAATTTTGTTTCACTGATTTCCCTTGTGATGTCAATTCATTGTACTGTCTCTCTGTGTGAAGCAGCCTCAATTCAAAGTGGCCTAGATTCCCTCTGCTTATCAGTTTTTGTATTGTTTGATTTGAAAAAAAAACAAGTGTTTTTTCTATTCGGCAGACCTCATTTTTATATTTTATAATACATCTTTCTCCTTTTATAGTAGTATATATTCTTTCCCTTCAATTTTTTTATCTTTGGTTCTTTCTACCTTTAAAGAATTGCCAATTTTCCCCATTAAGAATAGCCTGCAATTGTACACTTAAATTACTGTATCTGTCTATACAATTCTATTCCATCACCATATGAATGGTGATTAAGTGCACACCTGTATTACACTTTTAGAAGAAAATAAATCAACTTTATCTTTAGGCTTCATTTGTATATACTAGCTCCTTCCTTCCTTCCTTTCATCTTTTTAAGAGGGTCTCCCTATAGCCCCAGCAGGCCTTAAACTCACCATGTAGACCAGGCTGGCCTTGATCTCACAGAGATCCAACTGTCTCTTTCTCCATAGTGCTGGTATTAAAGGTATGGGCCACCATATCCAGCCTGTACCAGTATCTGCTTTTCCCTCAAGAATATTAATAGCCAATTTAACTATAAAATACTCAGAAGGGTATTTATTTTTAATGTGATTATATGTTCTGGAGAAAATCTAAGCTGTTCTAGCTGTGTTAATTTAATGCTTGACTGAAGAAATTTTGTAGCTTCAGATGTAGAATTTTAGTTAAATGCTTTGCATTTTTCTTCCTATTAAATATAATGCTGGGCCAGTTGGGTCCTTTGTTTGTATAGGCAGTAAGTAGAACTCTTTGGCCATTTAGGAAGCTGGATTACAGGCTGCTCTGGGCCCCATCAGATAGTTTACTACATTATTGTTCATTTCAGCAACAGATCAGTTGGTGAAAGGGCAGACTGGGAGGGAAGAGACTGAAGTTCATAAAAAGTAATTTTAAAGATAATTCATTGTAGGGGCTGGAGAGATGGCTCAGTGGTTAAGAGCACTGACTACTCTTGCAGAGGACCCAGGTTTGATTCCAAGCCCCCACATGGCAGCTAATAACTGTACATAACTCTAGTTCCAGGGGATCTGATGCCTTTTTCTGACCTCCACGGGCATTACACAACATGGGTGCATATACACACATGCAAGCAATACAGTCATATACATGAATTTTTTTTAAAGACAATTCATTATAAATCATTTTTCTGAGCTGTACAAACAAATTATAATTACTGATGGTAACATATTTATAAAGTCTACAGAAAAACATTAAAGCTATTGGAGAACAGGAGCGAACTTGAGGAGAAATGTGGTTAGGCTTTTATATTTTGGTGTATGAACTTTTGACAATGCAGTCTGTGGCATTTTCACTTCTTTATAAAATATTTTAAATACACACAAACACATGTTGCTGGGGGTGGAACCAGGGCCCTGTGAAAAGTAGACACCTGTTCTACCATTATGATATTCCCCGAAACAAGAAAATATGATTTATTTCTTTTTAGTTTTTTGAAATAGCATGACATATAGCCCAGGTTAGCTTCAAACTTGCTCTGTAGCAGAAGACAACCTTAAATTCCTGATCCTTCTGCCTCTACCTCCTAAGTCCTAGGATTATAGGCATGTACTACCACACTTGATTTTTTGGTTTTTCTGGAGTGCAATGGACTCAATCCAGGGCTTTGTGTATTCGAGGCAAGGACTCCACTACCCTAGTTACAACCATAGTCCCACCTTTCTTAAGAAACAGGGTCTCATGTAGTCCAGGCTGACTTAAACTCATGATCCTTCTGCCTCCACCACAAAAGTGCTGAGATTAGGGACATGTGTCACCATAACTAGCTGAAAATATGATATTTAATGTTAGAAATTCTGTATCTGAAAGAAGGCTCAATTATTAGGGGCTTTATGAGGCAAAGTTAGAAATCAAACATGGAAAGCATAACATAGTTTTGTTTGTTTAGTCTAAATGGCTTTCTAATTAGGTTCTCATTAAGTATGTGGCAGTTCTTTAGCATTTTATTGGCACCTGTATTGCTAAATAGTCATTGCTTTTGAAAATCGTACAGTGTATTTATTTAGTTGCTAGTTAATTGCCTACATTTTCACATTTTTATATTGTGTTTATGTCTTATAAGAAATTATGGTAGTTGGGCTGTAGAGATGACTCGGTGGTTTAGAGCACTGGCTACTCTTGCAGAGGATCTGGGTTTCGTGCTAACAACAATCCTAACTCCAGTTCCAGGGCATCGAATGCCCTTTTCTGACCTCCATGGGCATTGCACAACATAAAAACACATACACACATACAGGCAGTACACTCAAACACATAAAATAAAAATAAAATAAAAATTTTTTTAATTAAAAAAGAAACTATAATAGCTCTATTTTGAGTAGTCTAAATGTTCTCAGGCCTTGAAATGAATCTTGATGAGTGAGGGGAAGGGAGGAGATGACCAAAGCAATACAGATAACAATGAAATGACATGACCAGATAGCCAGGCTGATTTTGAAAGTAAAGGATCCAAGTTTGTCAGGATTCTGATTGAACAGTTTACTTGATATAATGTCTTGAAAATGTAAGTTGTGAACCCAGGAGTGATGAAGGAGTAAACTGATCTCCCTGTGGTTTCAGACTTCATGACTCCCCTCAAAGCAAGTTGTTACATACAACAAGCATATGAGATAGTTCCATTGGGGGTCATGAATAATCCTTTAATACCATCAAGTAGCTGGGGCAGAGGCCCAGATTATAACAACCACCACTTTAAAATCACAGCTGTTGGGAATACCTAATATCAGAAGATTGAGTGTTCAAATCAAGGCTATTTTTCTTCCCAAGCATAGATTTATAAATGGTTAGCTGTTGATCAGAGCCTAGTGGAGTTTAACAACATTTATTTTAGATGCTTTCTTCTATCTCTGGCTCAGAATCACCCGAACAATGAAAACTAAAGTCTGGACTCTTCTTACCTTAATGTTACATGCCAGAGCTTTGCCATCATCTCCTTTAAGCATCAGCTTCATTCCTCGAAGGGACTCCATGGCTTTTATAAAGTCAGTTGACTCCTGGTACTGTATAAAGGCCTCAAATGTTTGCAAGCCAAAGTTAAAGCCCCCAAAGCTCCCACCTGTCATCACTTCTCTGTAGGGGTCAAGCATAGGGATATCCACATTCTTGATCTTCCCAAAGCTTTCGAAGACCACCCGAAGGATCTCTTCACAGGGCTTCTCCCCACTGGAACCTTTACGTGCAAACCACTTACAGGGCAAGCCTTCAAAATAGATAGAATCTGGGCTCTTATCATGTTCCTGGTCTTCAGCCCCTTCAATCACCGAGGCCTCTTTGTCTTTGGGGAAGTGTTCCCACTCTCCCTGGGCATCTGTAGCCACTACTTTTAAGTCAGTTTTCAAACCATTTAACTTGATGATCTTCCCATGTAACTTTGCCTTCAGGATCTGAACCAAACTTCGGGTTTCAGCCTCACCCTCAAATCGGATGAAGTCTTTTGTACTCTTGGAGAGCCGCACGGTGGTGAACTGGTCAGGACAAATCAGGCTTTTCAGCTGGTCAAGAACTTCCCAGTTAGAGAAGGGCCTCACAGGTTCTATACATTCTGGGAGCAATACGTTGATCATTAATTTTGCTATAGGCTTGAGGTAGAGGTGCTGAGCAGCACAGAGCTCTGTTGCCTCCGAGTTATCATAAACCACTGTGACTGTCATGGTGTCGTCACACCACCTTAGAGGACAAAAGAGAGACATTGAATACAGATAAAGTGAAACAGATTTGGAGTGTGAAAAGATGCTACTATTGCTAGACTGAAATCTAACTGATAATGGAAAGAATACTATGGGTAGAATTAAAACAGTTTCCTATAACTTGGAAATAATGGGCAATTGCAGTAGCATTGTAGAATGAAAGGTTAATACTAAACAGCCAATGGCATTCCTATATATCAACAATAAACAAGTTGAATTAGAGATTTAAAACATGATGCCAAGCCAGGTGTGGTGGCTCATAACTCCAGAAGCAGAGGCAGGAGGAATGCCATGACTTTGAGGCCATCTTGACTTACATTAGTTCCAGGTCAGTCTGAAGTACAGAATGAGACCCTGTCTCAACTTCCCTCCTCCTTCTCCAAAAACATGATGCCATTTACATTACCACCAAATCCATGAACTACTTAGGTCGAAATCTACTAAAACATTCATAAGATCTATACAAAGTAAACTATAAAACCCTGATTTAAAAATATCAAAAAACTGGATATGTGTAGTAAATGAATAAGATGGCTCAATATGTACAGTTCTTTGTAACTAGATCTATACATCCAACATAACCCCAATCAAAATCTCAGCAAGTCACTTTATTAAACAAAAATTGATTCTAAAGGTTATATGGAAAGGCAAAGGCTCAATATAGCCAACTCAATACTGAAAGATGGGGGGGTTGAACTGACACTCCAACTTCAAAATCTCTTTAATATTACAAAGATAGGATGGTACTGGCAAAAGAATAGACAAATAGATTTCTAGAACAAGATAGAAACCTAGAAACAGATTTATACACAGTCCATACATATCTGAAGAAATGAGCAAAGGTTGTATTTCAATGCATAGTGCTGAAACAATTGCAACAACAGGACAAACACTCTGATTTTTACAATGAGTCAAAAATAAAAACGAAGAGAGGCCCAATGGATGGATGCTCTTTTGTGCCCACCAAAAGACTCTAGTGGGCTCTGATTAAAACACTTAGAAAATATTTTCTGGCTTTTCCTGGTTCCCTGCTTAGGATGTGTTAATAACTAATGCTAATAACTCTTGCCTTTATTTTTCCTCCCATCTTTTTTCCAGGTTCCAGTCAAGGACTTCCTTTCTTCCCTACTAGTGACCTGCTTTGGGGATCTTTCAGATTGGCCTACTGGAGAGGTGTCCCAACTGCCACACCCAATGGCTTATTCAGCTCAAAGAAAAAAGATTGATCATCACCCCAATTCCCTCACAGCAGTTAGGGTTACCTCTTCAGAGTGGGGAATAATGAGAACAGGATGTAGAAACTTATAGGCAGCTCAGGGCAGGAACCCCAAAAGCAGAAGTTCCAAAAATGTCCTTAGTTCTCTGGCCAGGAATGCCATAAGGGAGCTCTGGTTTCCTATCTCCCACTAAATGAGCCTAAAGGCTATGCATAAGGGTGAGGACTAGAACTCCAGCTCAGACACTGATTCCTTCTGGTGAACAGCTTTGAAACAGGATCTCTAGATTTTCATGATGAAAACGGGTTGTATCTATTCCCTAATTTCAGCCCATGACCTAAATAATTTGGGGGTTACCTCTTAGGACTGGTGAATGACAGTAAAGAATGCAATTTACTTCTAGGTGGAGATGTGCCATTGTTTCTGCCCTTAAGAGTTAATCTAATTCGGTGGGTCCATGACCTGGCCCACGCACTACCCCTCATAAAGGCAGGACCAACCATAGGCAGGACCACTTTAAGCCATGCTAAAGAAATAGATGGAGCCAGCATGATAGAGCATACCTTTAATCCCAGCACTAGGGAGGTGGAGGCAGGCAGAGCTCTGTGAGTTCGAGGCCAGCCTGGTCTCAATAGCAAGTTCCAGGCCAACTGGGGCTACAGGGAGACCCTGTTTCAAAAAGACCAAAAAAGAAAGAAAGAAAGAAAGAAAGAAAGAAAGAAAGAAAGAAAGAAAGAAAGAAAGAAAGAAAGAAAGAAAGAAAGAGATGGAATAATTATCCCTTTTATAAAACAATACACGTTTCCTTCTCAGAATTCACAGGATCCAGTGCCTCTAGCAGTCACTGCAGGTGTGCTCACATGCACATACCCCCACACAGACACACATGTATATGTATAATTAGCACTATAACATTTAGAAATGGGCCTATCAAGTTTGGGGATGTGGCTGAGGGGTAGAGCATTTGTCTACCATGTTTAGGGCCCTAAGTGTGATCCCAACAACAAAAATAGGCCAAAGATCTTAACAGACATCTCCCCAAAGAAAAGATACCAATGGCAAAAATAATTTTAATAGTATCCTTTCTTAGATTAATTTCAGAGTCCAGGTTATATTCTTCTAAATGGCCTTGCTAGAAATCAACTCCTAAATTCTTTTGTCATGGATTTGTGTGTGTGTGTGTGTGTGTGTGTGTGTGTGTGTGTGTTTGTATGTGTGTGGTGCTGTGGATTAAGCCCAAGCCCTTGCAAATATTAGAGTAGTACTCTACCACTGAACTAACTACACACCCAACCCCTGAATTTGATATTCAGAAATCATCAAAAGTGATCTAGATCAAGAGCTCTTTGGGGGGGGAATGATTATAAAGCAAAACCTGATTTTCCTCCAAAAAACCTGATTGTCACTGAATTTTGTAAATGACCTCTGAAAGTCCCAGCTAAAGCAATTAAACAAGAGAAAGAGATAAATAGTACCCAATTGGAACGGAGGACATCAAATCATCCATTTGCAGGTAACATAATCTTATATACAGAAAAGCCTAAAGACTCTCCTAAAAATGTTAGAACTGATAGACAAGTTACATAATATAAGACCAATACACAAAACTTAGCAGCATTTCAATACAGTAATGAACTAGTTGAAAAACAAATCAAGGAAGTAATCCCTTTTGCAGTAGTTATAAAGATACCTAGGAATGAATTTAACCAGGGAGATTAAACAATTCTACAATAAAAACTATAGAGCATTGAGAAAAAAATTGAAACACACACACACACACACAATGGAACAATGTCTCGTGAAAATGTAATATATAATCACAATGGAATACTAGCCAACCTTCAAAAGAAGAATGAAATCCTGTCATTTGTCATAACACGGATAGAGCTAGAAAACATTATGTTAAATGAAATAAGCCAGGAATGGAAAGACCAAGATTTTAGGGTCTCGCTTATATGAGGAAGGTAAACCGATCACTTTCATACAACTGGAGAGTAGAATTATAGTTGCCAGAGGCTGGGAAGGTTAGAGGAAGGGGGCGGGGGGGAGAAACTGGTTAATGTGCACAGAGTACAGTTGGCTAGGAGAAATAATTGCTCATGTTCTATAGCACAGTAGGGTAACTATGGGTAACAGCAATCCATAATATATTTCAAAACTGCTAGCAGATCGGGTTTGGAATGTTCCTAACACAAAGAAATGATATGATACATCTCTGATTAAATGGACATGTCAATTATCCTGATTTGATCATTATACACTGTATACATGCATTGAAATGTCTAATTGTATCCCATAAATACATATAATTATTAATGTAATTTTTAGTTTTAAGACTATATGTCAATTAAGCCAGGGATGATGGCACACACTTTTAATCCCAGCACTGAAGAGGCAGAGGCAGGCAGATGTCTTGTGAAATGGAGGCCAGCCTGGTCTACATAGAGAGTTCCAGGCCAGCTGGGGCTACAGGGAAACCCTTTCTCAAAAACCAAACCAACAAACAAACAAAGAGAGAAAATGAAAGGAGGAAGAAGAAGAAAGGAAGGAAGGGAGGGAGGGAGGAGATTATATTTACTGATAACGTAGAGTGCTCATGATAATTTAGAGGAAGAAACACTGCAGAATAATGCATAATATATTTGTGTAAAAACAATATAATAAACTATAAAAATAATATAAACATATATGTATAGCTACAAATATACACATGTGTCAAATCTGAAAAGATGTACATCAAACTGTTAACAATATTTCCCTAGGAAGTAGGTTATGAGTAGAGAAGGGACTTTCCCTTTTTGCTTTGCACACTTTATTCATTTATTGATTTATTTATTGGTGCTCAATAGTGAGCCCAGAGCCTCATGCTCGGCAAGCACCCTCTCACTGAGTTATTAATAAGAAGCAATTTACAACTGCTGACATGCACTTGCCTAGGAAAGCATCAAAACGGACTAATACAATAACCATCTCCTTCCACCACCAATGCAGCCCTCTATTTGCCATCACCAGCATCTGACTCTATAACTAAAGGTTGTATGAGTCACTGAAGCCTGGGAAATTAGAATAGGATTCTGAAAAACAAAGTATTGCTTGGCAACTGCAACACTAGCTACATCAGAGGTTGCAGAGTCTATTTTTGAAAGCTGCTTTATTGATTTGGGCTGGGAATGTGACACAGCGGTAAGGTTTGTCTAGCATGCAGGAGGCCCTGGGTATCATCCAGCATCACAAAAACAAACACTGCTTTACTGAGTCATGATTGAAATATGATAAACCATGGTTCATAACATAAACTTCACAAGTAGCAACAGTGCGCATTATAATAAGTCTTGGTATATGTACACACACCCATGATCAAACCACCTCCATGATCAAGATAGTGAAAACACCCATCATGCTCATAAATATTTTTGTGCCTTTCTGTAATCTTCCCCCTGCCTTCAGCAATCATTTATGCAACTGCAAAATGCTTACTTCACAACCTATTTATTCTGTAACATAATAAAAATGAATATTTCTGGAAAACACTAATATAATAGTAAACTAGCAGGTGCTTTCCTCTAAATCAGAATACTTTCTTAATTCCAAGGTCAATGTGTCAATCCTTATTTAATTAAAACTGTTAAGGGCTCTGCTTCACTCTTGAAAACAAGTCTAAAAGCATCTGTATTTTTCTCACCACATGATCTCTGTTTTTAACCTCATTTACACCAAATAAACACATCCAAGCATATAATCAATTTTAAATTGTATACTATAT